AATATGTGTTACGTTTGCTGCCTTGAAATAATAAGGGATAGTGCCTTTTTTCTTAGGCAATTTACGTTGTGATATTTTCTGTGCATCATTAGCGTTTTTTTGTAATAGTTTTATGTGTCGCATTGTATTTTTAAATGTAAGAAACTGTAGATTATATTCATTTATATCTATATTAAAGTTGATTTTTTTGCAAATATAATTTAAATAGAATTTCATATTTACATTACGATATTTCATATATATAAAAGTACAATTTTTTAAATATTTAGACCATAAATAAAATTTATTATTTAATTTATATACATTAAGATATGGATTATAATTAACGGGCATAATTTTTGTGGAACAAAAATTAAAATGTAATAATTCAGGATTTTTATCATTACCCGGGGTTTTCCTACACCTAATACAACAATATCATTATCGGATAAATTATTAACCATATTATTACAATAGTGTAGAATTTCACTACTAGTTGCATTGCTCATTATATATGCCGAGGGATTGTATTTATCATTCCATTTTCCAAGTCTTGTTTTAATTAAAGCTGCCGATAGGCCCAGCAATTGCTCATCACCTATTATGTGTATAGATTGACTTCGCTGCAAATTTTTAGTACCTTCTTTTTTGTTTGTATCTGACGTATCACTACGAGAATTATTACACATTACTAATTCATTAAATCTTGGTAGTGAATTTTCTCTATAAAGATTGCTATTGTCTTTACTAGATGGCGTTGTTTGATATTTACATTGTTCTTGTTGTTTAGTAGGGCTTTTCGTTTCAATTAAAGAGAAATCCAATTTACTTTTATTTATATTCTTCTTTTTTTTACATGTGGAGCTCTTTGGAATTAAATTTTTTAGGTGAGGAGTGGGCTTGCATAATTGGTTTAGTTTATTAATTTTTAATTCATATTCCGAAATTTAATTTTTTAGGGCAAAATTTTCTGATAAAATATTCTCAATTTCATTTTCTGCTATTTCTAATTTCTCTGTAAGATAACCTATTTTCTTCTCTAATTCTTCTATCTTTTCCGGGTTAACAGAACCTAGTTCTGGGCAACTTCTATTTAATTCACACGTTTCTAGTAGTGACGAATACTCGGGCTCTTGCTCGTCCGATGACAGAGAGTCGAAAGAATTCTTCACAGGTATATTAATCCGATATTTATTTCTGATTGTTATGTTATTTGATGGTGTACGTGTTGTTCTTTCTTCATAATATTCTTTACATTTCCACTTATTTTTAGTATCAACCGTCATTAAATAAAATCTTTTATTTGAAACATTTGTACAATCCAAATGGAAATGCTCCTTACAGCTAGAACAGGTTAACTATTGTTTGTCAGATATAACAATTTTACATTTAAAACATACATTCATTTTGCGTATTTCTGGTTTTATCTTTCAAGATTAATATAATTTGTACATATTACTTTAATGCCACTCTATAAATAAGCGTCCTCTGTTGGCCAAACGTCTGATAACGTTTGTGATAATCGAATAAACATAAGCGTAGTTTTAACATTTGCCATAAGATGGAACTATTTTTTAATTTTTTTTTTGTTTTTTATTTTCAATAATTATCATAATACTAAAATAAACACCCAAGTATCTTGAAATTTGAGTTAGTATAAAAGAATAATCGTTCTTTAGTTACAGTGATTGTTCGTTTTGTCCACTAAAGAAATAATAATTAAATATTTTTTGAATAAACTATGTAACGGTCTTTTATATTTTTTGAAATTATAAGCTCAATTAATGGTTACTTTCCTGCAAATTCTTATATTATCCACTTAGTTTTTTGATAAAAAACAGTTTTCGTTCACTTTATCACACATTTTGATATTTCTTTTGTTATTAAACACTTCAACGTTAGTTCCATACAAAATTTAAATTAACAATGTTCACACTTAACACTTCAACTGGATAAAGTTTGTAGTCTTTAGTTACATGATTATGAACTCACTTAACTAAGAAATAACAAAAATTGTTTACATTTAATATTTTTTAAAACTTATAATTTACGGAGCCTATGTTGACGTGACAAGTACCTATATACCTATCCAATCCTAATTTAGGTGCTCTGATGGTGATGCTGCAGGAACAGGCTCGCCGACAGGAGGAACAGGTCCGTCAGTTGAAAGAGCAGCTGCAGAGCGGACCGAAGGAACAGATCCGTCAATTGAAAGAGCAGCTGTGAAGCGGACAAGAGGAACAGGCCCACCGACAGGAGGAACAGATGCTCCTCATGAAGGACCTTCACGCTACCTTTGGGAAAGAGATAAGGGAGGTGAAGGATAGGGTTGCTCAACATGACAACCGCCTGGACAGCTGAAACCCGGATCGAAGAACATGAAACCCGAATCAACCATGTGAACAATCAGGTTGACAACGTGATGGCTGACGTGAAGAAAACGCTAAACGACCTCAAACTTGGGGATGGAACTACAGCTCCCGTAGTAGCTACAGCACCTTCGCTACGTGGATTCAAAGTGACGCCGTTTGACGGGACTTCTTCCTGGTCGGCCTACAAAATCCAGTTCGAGGCCGTCATGGAGGCAAACGGCTGGAATAAAAGCCAGGCCATGACGTGAAGTTGCACTCACCTTAGGCCTGCGCGACCAAGCCTTAACTGTGTTGGAAGCTCTCGGTAAGAAAGTGACCTACGAGCTTACTACTATTAAGATCGCGTGCAACGCAGTAACGAAAACCTGCAGCAGTGGGCCCTTGAGGTGGAGAAGATGGTTCGAAAAGCATACCAGTCTGTACCTGCGCTTTGAAGGGAACCTGGTGCAGACATTCATCGACGGCATCCGCGACCTTGAAGTCAGAGCTGCTGTGAGGCTGGGGCACCACAAGACGCTTAAGGACGCCTTGGCCCATGCACTGGAGGTGGAAGCCGTGCGGCAGGATCTTCGCTCCCATCGCGTCAGGGAGATTGCAGCAGTTACGGTTCGCGACCACAATAAAGGATACAGCCCTAGGTGCTACGGCTGTGGAGAAAGGGGCCATCTTCAATCCAGCTGCCCCCTAAGCGAACCCTAGAAAGGGAAGGTGAACGATCTCAGAAGGGAAGTGCGGCTAACATCACCGCCCAGTAGCAGCCGGGATACGACTTTACTATCAGACATCGCAGCGGGAAATCTCATGGCAACGCAGATGCATTGTCAAGAAGACCTTGTCCTGAAGATTGGAAACATTGTACTAGGCAAGAGAGTAAGGAAGTGGTATCCGTGAGGATGCTCAGGACAGACCACCTCAGCAACGAGTGGAAGGACAGCCTACGACATGCACAGCAGGAAGATCCGGACATCAAGCCGATTCTGGATTGGATGAAGGCCCGTGCTACCAAGCCTAAGTGGAGCGACGTCTCAGCGATGAGTTCAACCACGAAAAGCTATTGGGCCCAATGGGACAGCTTGCTGATTCAGGATGGAGTCCTGTGCCGTAAATGGGACAATTGTCGAGGAGACAGCTGTCGTTTGCAAATGGTTGTCCCCAAAGCTAAAGTGCCGAATGTTCTACAGCTGTGCCATAATGGTCGTTCAAGAGTCCATCTGGGAGTTAAACGAACTCTGCTGAAGGTCCGAGAACAGTTTTACTGGGTCCATTATCGTGACGATGTCGAGGCTTGGTGTCGTACATGTACAAGTTGTGCGACGTGAGGGGACCTCAGACACGTAGTAGAGGAGCACCGAAATTGTACAATGTTGGTGCACCATGGGATAGGACAGCCCTTGACATTGCGGAGCCGTTACAGAAAGGCGCAAGAGGGACTCCTAAGATCGTCCATGTGGATCACCTGGCGCGTTATTATGGGGCCGATAATGCTCGGGACGAGCATGTCTTAGGAGGGGGTAGTGTTGCGCGGCTAAGTTGACATCTGGCACTAGCGCCATCTAGTGTCGGGTAACGGAGCGAGGGGAGAGCTTTCCAGAAAATGACATCACTAATCTTTCAACCGACAGCGCCATCTGTTGTCGAAACGAAGAACTAAGCTTCTGGAAGCTGACTCTCGAACTTTCGGCGCTTTGTCGATTGGTGCGCGTATTTACTTGAATGTTCTGGATGATTCGGTACTAATGTGTATTTATAGGCGCTGCAAGGTGCGATCGGGGAAGTATTGAATTTGGCGAATTTGGAGACAAGCGAAGCTTCGGAGCGGAATAAAGTGAATTAGTGTGCTTAATTATTGGTGTTTTAAGTTTTAATATTTTGTGTAAAGAAAATTAAAGTGTTAATTTAGGTAATTCTATCGGCAATTTTTATTGTCACGAACCTCAAGCTCGTAACAATATATTTATTTCTTTAAATTTTTCTCTAAAAGACTATCGTTTTAAGATTGTAAATAGATCTCTAAAAGCCCTCTTCTTCAAAACAAAAATAGTTTCTAAATCAGCCGCATTTCCTCATAGCAAAGTTCCATATGAAATTATGCTATGGAAATAACTGGAATAAAAAGTCTGCGTGCTAGTTTAGATATATGCGGGCAGTGGGGCCGTCGTATAAGCTTAGCGTCGAGAGTGAAGCCAAGAAAAACAGAGGACTCAATAGGGCTCAGTTCTCGGATTATTAACATTTGTTGTTGTAAATTTAATACAATTAGTTTATTTTATACTTCATTAAGAGATTGAGGGAATAGATAGTGCACCTGTGCTTGTACATTGTAATGATGTACTGCGCAGATCGCTGGTCTCCGTTAAGTCGGACTTCAAATTGTTTAATTCCAAGTGCAATTTTTAAAAAGTTTTATTTAGAGTTTTATTATATATATATATATATATATATATATGTGTGTGTGTGTGTGTGTGTGTGTGTGCTTGCGTGCGTGCGTGCGTATGTGTGTGTGTGTGTGTGTGTGTGTGTGTGTGTGTGTGTGCGTGTATGTGTGTGTGTGTGTGTGTGTGTGTGTGTGTGTGTGTGTGTGTGTGTGTGCTCGTAAAATTGCGCATGTAAATTATATCATATGTATATTGTTTCTTAACCTATTCGCAGGAGAGAGTTTTGACTTGATGGATGGTGTGTTGGGGATGGCACTGTCACCGCTGCATACTGGCAAGGATCGTTACTTGTACTTCCACGCACTTGCCTCCACCACTGAGAACGTAGTGCGAACCAGCATACTACGAAACTCATCATTTATCGACGACGTGAATGCTCAGCCTCAATCAATGAACGTAAGTTTTAAACGAGTTAAAGTTACAGCATAAACAATAAGTGTTTCTTTTTTTAAATATTTTACTGAAAGGATGACAATGATAACAAGAACTAAAAGTTGAAAACTTCAATATTTTATACAGTAACATCTGGGTACAATGATCATTTTTATAAAATAAGGGTGACAAACGAGCACACAGTCCAGCCGATGGAAGTGGATGCTGTGGCCCATGGAAATCTAAATTTATCCTCGATTAAGAATCAAAACGCAGATGCGCTGCCACCGCTGAGGACCAAGATGGAATGTCTCGTTTCCAGTAAAAGGGTCTCCGGTTCTCTACACTCACCGTACGAAACAGCAGTATTTGAGCCGATCCTCATTATAATGCCATTCAGAGTTCTTTCTCGGTCCGATCTCGGTCTGATAAAATGTGCAATATCAAGTAAAAAATATGTGTGTGTATCTTTTATACTATCCGTAACAGTGAAGTTTATTTATTTTTATTTATTCACAAATTGCGTTACACGTGACTTAGAGACTAAACAAAACGTGCAAGTTCTAACAATCACGTGCACCTCGAAAGTTATAGCAATGAACAGTAGAGGGGCAGACACTTAAAAATTCTTTTCCTCAGTGTATTTATTCATTGAATAATAACTTTTTTAATAAGTATCTCCTTTAAAGATTTTATGAATTTATTAGTATTTGTTTCGGCTTTTATGTATTCCGGCAATTTATTATAAATTTTTATTGACATCGAGTAAGGACCTGTACTGTGTAATTTTAATTTAGATTTTGGTTGCAAAAGGTTATTCTTATAGCGAGGTACGTTGTGTCGGGGAGCGTCTATGATTTTTGTGTAAAAACTTGGGTGTCTTTTTACAAATTTACATATTTCTAATATATATAGGCACGGTAATGTTAGAATTTTGAGACTTTGAAAGTGAGGTTGGCAGCTTTCTCTTTGTTTGATATTTGCAAGTACGCGTATACATTTTTTTTTGTAAAATAAAAAGTTCGTGTGAGTCTACACTGCTGCCCCATAGTATGATGCCGTAGTTTAGCCACGCTTGAGCGTAGGCGTGATAGGCTGTCACTGCCGTTTTTAAATTTGTAGATTTTTTTAATTCTCTTAGAGCATATATAAATTGTGATAATTTTAACTTATTTTTTTGAATATGTGATTTAAAATTAACATTCGAATCTATATTTATACCCAGAAAAGGAAAATTTTGAACACATTCTAATTTTGTTTGATTATATGTATAATTTATCTCTAGTTCATGTTTTTGTCGTGGCCTGAATTGTATTAGTTTAGTTCTTTTGAAATTGACTTCTAAATTATGATCGCTTAGCCATTGTTTTACTTTATTTATAATTATGTCGATTCTTTCATTAAGTTTGGTACCATTGATATAAGGGAACACAACGGAAAAATCGTCGGCAAACATCACACAAAGCTCATCAATAATCTTGGGGAGGTCATTGATGTAAATAAGGAAGAGGACACATCCGAGTACGGACCCCTGAGGGATAGAGTCCCACACCGGCTGGGCCCTCGACGTGACACATGTTATGGTTTTTGAGTCTTGATCTACATTTTCTATTTCGACGTACTGTGAACGATTGCTGAGAAAGGAAGCAAACCACTTATGAGCTACACCACGGATACCAATGTCATAAAGTTTATTTAAGAGAATGTCATATTTAATTTTTTCATATGCTTTTGTCATGTCAAATAAAATTCCTATTGCGTACTTCTGATCGTTTAATATGTTCAAGACTTCATTAAAATATTTAAATGCGGCTAGGTTGTCGAGTGGTATTTTCTAAAACCATTTTGGGCTTCGTCGAAAATATTGTACGTTTCACAAAATGAGTATAATCGTTTGAACACAGCTCTTTCAAAAATTTTTGAAATTACCGGTATGAGTGCAATGGGTTGGTAGTTATTGGGGTCCGTTTTTTTTTTGTCTTTTTTATGTATTGGATTTATAATAGCAATTTTTAGTAGGTCAGTGAATACTCCTTCAGAAAAGGATTGATTTATAATTAAAGTTAACGACGGAACTATTTCTTCGGCAAATTTATTAATAAGAGTGGACGGCAGCTCATCAACACCGAAGCTAGATTTTAATTTTAGTTGTCGCACCAATGACATTACCTCTCGTTCATTCACTGGGGTTAAGAACATCGAGTGCAGAGAGGGGCGCATAACCGGGCGGCCGCGTGGCGCGAGCGCACTACCTGCCGCGCCGCTCCCGACTGACGCGAATAGTTCGTTAAAAACATTAGAAACCTCATGCGGGTCAGATATTGGTTCATTGTTGATATGCAATTTAATATTTTCATTATATTTTTTTACCTTAACATGCTTTGTTTTTTCATTTATTATTTGCCACATACATTTAATTTTATTAGTTGCTTTATTCATTCTTTTAATTGATTGTAATTGTTTTGATTTTATTATAACCTTTTTTAAATATTTTTCATATTGTTTGTAATAATTTTGTAAAATT